CCGTTCCTCTAGCCAAGTGGGGCTGTGTATTTGCTGGTTTTGCCTTCATGGCCTTTATTGCCTTATGGGCCTGAGAGATTTCTGACTTTTCTGATGGACCTATCTAGGATGGCCTTCCAACCCCCAGGAGACACCTCCCAAATGGCTTCGGCCCTTGGACATTTCTTCACTGAGACTAAAGGACATTCACTAGGCATCATCCCATAGACTGGACCCCAGCTTTTCCCTGCATGAGATCCCTTTCCTGCCTCAGGACTGTGAAAAGAATGTTTAAGTTGATCGCCTACTAATTGGAGAATTGTTATAAAGACCATAATTCCAAATTTCACTCTTGTCCCATTTATGCTACCATATGTAATAAAATACCCATTTTACCCTTCCCGTTCAGCCATATTGTATTTCATTTCTCCTGGTTGCCTAGAAGCTGCCCTGTACAGATGTGGTGGGACAGGGAGGATAAGCATTGGATGCCTTATTTTCTTCTGGAATCGGGGCCCCTAACCATTCAGTCAGTTGCAGGGTCTGTTTCCAGACATAGGAGGATTGCTGAAATTCCGACAGTCCCTTCCCACCTTATCCACAGGAGTTGAGAAAATGAGCCAGATTTCCCATCATTTAGTGGGAAGGGGGTTCAATAACAGAAACCACACGGATGGATTTTTTTCCTATACTAACAACACCCACCCACTCACTCCTAGTACCTAGCATCAACCACCTACAGCATGCCCAACATACTCTTCAGATCAGGCTAGCACCCACCCACTCCTAGTACCTAGCATCAACCACCTACAGCATGCCCAACATACTCTTCAGATCAGGCTAAATGGAACCTATTTTCATCATGTTCCTGTTTTTCACACTGAGTCCTCTGTGGCCTCAGGAGTACTATTGCTCTTCTTTAAGACTCCGTCTCCTTCCAGCTGCCCTGTGCTGAGGGATTAAAAAGCAGTTATGTTTGGAAAGGGAGGAAGGCGCCAAATAAATGCCTAGGGTGATTACTTGGCTCAGCTGGGACTTTGTGGCTTTCCTTCAGCCTGCCCTACCAATTGTCTTTCAGTTTGAGTAACCCCCTACAATGTGTTGCTTCTCTTAAAAACTGCTAAGAATGAATTAAAAAGCAGGTTATCTGGAATTGAGGAGAAACAGGATGACTGTTGCCCAGTCTCCAACCCATGAGATGAGGAATGTCTCAGACTTAGTGGAGAAGTGGGGAAAGAGAAAGTGCACTGTGAATTCAGTTACCCTTACCAGTTTGTTCCTTCTGATATTTTCAGTGTGGAAGCCCAGGTAGCCTTAACACAGACGAGGTGTCCTGTGTTTTATTCTTATTTCGGTCTTTGTCTCCTGTCTATCCTGTTCCCCTCCCCACAAAGAAGGAAATACAAGCCTCACAATTCCATTTTGCACACTTAGAGAGAAGGCAAGCTTCAGGCAAGGGGTGGGGGGGATGCAGGTAGGTAGGTAGGTAGATATTTCGAACACAGGAAGTAATTTCCCTGAACACCATCTTATCGTGTCTTCCCTTCAGTATTAAATGCAGCAACATCTAATACACTCAGAGCAGTGCCTAATGTGTAGTAATAATACAGTTCCTACATTGAGCACCTGCTGTGTACCAGGCACTGTGCTATTGCTTTCACAGGCATTATCTCACTTTCACAACCCGAATAGGTAGATATTATCCCCGTAGTAACTCTAGGGAAATTGGCGTTCAGAAAAGCTAAATAAGGGGCTGGCCCAGTGGCTCACTGCTATAGTGCACCGCTTGGGAAGCATGGTGGTGCCCCCGCCGAGGGTTCGGATCCCACATACAGACCGGCCGCTCACTGGCTGAGCGAGGTGCGGGCGCATCACTGAGGTTTGCGATCCCGTTGCCGGTCCCAGTTCGGTACGGGCGCGACACTGAGGGTTGTGATCCGTTGCCGGACACGGAAAAAAAAAAAAAAAAAGAAAAGCTAAATAATTTGATCACATAGCTAGCTGGGCTTCAAAGGCATGTTTCTATGATTCTAAGAAAAGCTCAATATACAGATTCTTTTCTCCTTCCTTACCTTTTAACTTACCATCCCCTCCCATCTTCCCATCCTGCACGTTAGGATCCCAGAAGAAAACAGATAGTACACTGGATAATTGAGGCAAGTTTAATAAAGGGAGTATTTAGCAAGGTGTGGGCAGGATTTGGACAAAGCAACAAATGATGACGCAATACCCTGGGGCTGGGTAATAACAATGCTGTTCCCTAGGCTGGCGAAAAAGGAGTAGTTACCAGAAATTAGAGAGGGCTATCCAATGAGTGCTATGGCCTTTTGTAGAGGGATGCAGCCAACCTACAGGCACCCAACAAGGAAGGACCAGGGGAATAACCTCTTTCTCCTTCTACTCTTTTATCTACTTCCAGTGTCTCTTACTGGGCAAACTCAAACAAGCCAGATGACAAAAATGTCTGTTGGTGCATTGCAGAAAGGTTGGTCTTATGGGGCACAGAGCATAAGGAGATCTAGAGGGGTAAACAGAAGATGTCCCGCATACCATCCATCCTCCAACTTAAGTGATCTTGTCAGAACTTTGGAAGGGATGAATTGAAAGGGACACTATTATATAGAAGCTAGAAAGCTATTCCTAGTATAGAGGACTTGTGTAACTATAGAAAAGAGACTTAAGGAGAAGTACATTAGACTGTCGGGCTCTTCAGTATGTTATGGGTCACTAGTGATACTAACATTTGAGGTGAATGAGGTTGGGATATTTCAAGCATGGGTGAGTTGTGTACGTCTCATCTTCTTCCATCCCAGGATCCCTTGGATTCCTCTTTAGCCTCCCCTGTGTTCAGCTATCAATGCTTGCTTTCCTTCTCAGAACCATTTCCTTTCCTTTTTCCAAAATTCTTACCAACCAGGACTAGAGCCATCTTTAGTTTGAACCGTATTATATCAAGAGCTGGAATAAAGCTAGAGAAAGGCTCCATATAGAGACCATCAGGACCAGGAAAAGAATCTTTTTTTTTTTTTTTTTAAAAGATGACCGGTAAGGGGATCTTAACCCTTGACTTGGTGTTGTCAGCACCACGCTCAGCCAGTGAGCCAACCAGCCATCCCTATATGGGATCCGAACCCGTGGCCTTGGTGTTATCAGCACCGCACTCTCCCGAGTGAGCCACGGGCCGGCCCCCAAGGAAAAGAATCTTTTGATCATTTTCAAAAGAAATGAATTCTCAGCAAGGAGCCAGAGAGGGTTATATGGGAGCAGAAGATGAATGTGATTTCTGAATGAGATTAAATCAAGAAAGGCTGGGTTAACAACAGGCATAAGAACCATAGGACAGGAAGGAGAGCTGAGATATCTGGGGTGAGGTGTCTAGAAGCCAGATTCAGGAGTAAGCCCTATTCATTCATCCTTAAGAGAGGGTTATAACAGAAGATAACTAGAATGACAACAGCTGAAAAATAAAAATAGGAGGGAAGATATGCAGGATGGGAGAAGAGATGAAGGGAAGCTGGTTGGTGTAGTCAGAAGAGAATTTACATGGAACAATTTTTAAGTCTCTTCAATCCCTGTCCCCCCTTTCCCACCTCTCATTCTCCACCTCCACACATGTATTTTTTATACGGTATACTTAAACAGGAAGAAAACAGAAGAATGAGGCCTCTAACTGCTCCCGTTCCTACAGTCAGCTTTCCATCTCTGCCACCAATTAATTGTTCTCTGAACTAACCCTTGGGACTTCCCCACCTTTCCTTTGCTTTCAAGCTGAGGGTTTGGTTTGGATATTGCAGTTGTAGGATGACAATTTGTGAAGAAAAATACGGGAAATAGCATCAAAGAGAAACCAGAGTTTAGGGAATATGCTGGAGCAGGGTGGGAGGTCAGTCAGAGAGCAACACATGAGGACAAGATACACCCAGGAACAAAAACTAAAGAGCTTCAGACTAACTCTTGTGAGACAATTTGTGCCACTTCACCCCTCCCTGAAGGACAGTTTTGGAGTGTCTTACCTCTCTCACCACGGAAAATAGTCCCTTGCTCCCGGCTCTGGTCTCACAGAGTTGAGGAAGGGCTGCCAGAATTTGAGTGGGTTGGTATGTTTGTGGCAACCAGCCAGACACCCTCACATTCCCCCCACACCTGAGGGGGAGCCCATTGCCACCAGCAAAGGTGAAGCAAAAGGAGTGCAGAGAGGGATTACACCCCCAGGCACCAGTCCGTGGGGTGCTTTCAAAAGACCAGTTGTAGTTTGTTGGGTTTTTTTAAATTGTGTTATGAGTTACTATCTTTAGATTTGTTGAATATCAAATACAGAATGTATTCTACTTTTACTATATATTCATCCCATTTGGGAAAAATTCTGATGTTAGTGAGGAGAGAGGATAAAAACAAATTACATTTCTCAGAACACCATTTACCCTCACCACTCCCCTGGCCTCTAGTTAGAACTGAGTCTTATTTTCTAGTCAGTCCTAAAATCTCTCTAAAATGTGTTGTCTCCCTCTCCGGCATTTTCCCTAACTCTAATGTTTAACATCTATCCCTCCTACTGCAGTTTCACTGTTGTGTGTGTACCTTCAGCCTCACCCTTTAACATCTCTTCATGAGATCCAGAATTTTCAAGCTGAAACCATAAGGTAAGGCTATTTTCACTGTGTTCTTCTAGTTTTATTCTCTTTCCTATTGAATCTTCTCTTAGCTATCTTGGACTTCTTGTCCATTAAGTCTGGGAAACACATTCCTTGAGAAAGAATGAAAGAGAAAAACAGAAATCCTAAGCCTAAAGCAGACAAAAAGTAGGGAGTCTGTGGTTCAGCTTCTATAAAATCAACCCACCTCACCTCTGAGCTCTGCTCTTAAGAATGGACAGGAGCAGCAGACCATGATATTAGGACCTATCTTCTAGTACAGCTACTGCATAGAATCACAAAGAACAACTGGATTGTAAGACTGGGGAAACAGAAAGGAACCTGGGAACTGGGGAAAATTGTTAAGAACAATGCCAACCACAGGGGGGCACTGTGCCCTTTGGACTAGACTAGAAAGACCAGGACCAACAAACTAAGGTTAGTTAAGGACAAGCCCCCTCTCCCTAGCTCCCAGCAGAGAGCATCCTTCCCTCTACCTAACAGATTTCTTATGCATCTCCATCTATAGGAGAGACATACATAATCACCACCCATTTCACACACCCACCTATGTACACACACACTCACATATGTACACATAATTGTAATTTGCTCCCATTTCTGTAGATTATCCTGCTAACAGTTACCTTTGCAGGCAGATGCACAGAAAAGACCTGCCTACCCTTCCATAACTTCAACAGCAGCTACTGCCAGTAAAGGCTGATGCTGGTTTTAGTTCTTTGCCTTTTTCTCATATTTTGCCTAGGAGCGCCATTTCTGTAGATTATCCTGCTAACAGTTACCTTTGCAGGCAGATGCACAGAAAAGACCTGCCTACCCTTCCATAACTTCAACAGCAGCTATTGCCAGTAAAGGCTGATGCTGGTTTTAGTTCTTTGCCTTTTTCTCATATTTTGCCTAGGAGCTAGTTGGGCCCTAATTTCAGTTATACTGTTTCTTTTCTTCATTATGGATTTCCATACTCTTTGCTGCCTATCCTCTATGTAGTCACTCAACATCCTCACCATCCTGTAGCTAGCCCCATAACCCTGGTCACCCAATACCCCCATACCACTTCTGACACTGGCCTACCACATTTAAAACAGACTCAGTCTATGGGAGAGAGTGATGAAATGCTCAAGAATCAAGAGCACAGTCCCTGCCCCACTTCCATATCCATCAGTGTGTCAGCACTAGACATCCAGCTGCATTAGTCCTCAGCTCAGTTTTATTGAGTAAAGTGTATAACTGCTGGCGGGGGCGGGGTGGTAGTTATAAAGCAATCTGGCAATGACATAATATTCCATCCACAGTACTCTTGCTAATGACACTACAAAGTACCTTCTCATTTTTATTTCTTGCGCCTAAGGAGCCCAATAATCAGCCTGCAACGGCTGCAAAATATCTGAATTCTTCTTTATGTTTGTTTATTTTTGTTGAAAAGCTTCTTAGAGAATCATAGTCTAATTAGCTCCCAGATCCCTTGGATTCCATGAGAGAGGAATTCTCAAGAGGAAATCCTCCTTTTTGCTATGACCCTCCTGAAAGTCTTCAGATTGGGGTGAACTATGAACAACCCAACCCCTGTAGTAACTTCATGAGCTTTGGTCTACTAGATAGTTGATTGAATCAACTATCTAAAATGAAATCTAGGTGACCCTTAGGGAGGATCCTGCAGGAAGGTGGTCACAATATATCCTTGGGCACTTCAGTTAGCTTTCTTCTTTCTCAAAGATCATGATTTTGGTAGCATCTCTGAAATCCTATGGCATTTCTCAGTGACATATAACTGATAAGGAAGTCTTGTAAGATCTAAGTAGTTCCTCTCTCCCAAGCTTGAAAATACTATCAGTATCAAGGACAATACCATTCTATTGGAACAGGGGCTAGTTTCTATGGGGTCCTATTTTGTGAGGTGTCTATGCTACATAAGCCCTCTCCCCTGGTTTATGTCACTTTGAGAAAAGAATGTGAGAGTTGGGCAGGGAGAGGCTAGGAAAAGGGGCATGATGCAGGCATATCAAAAGAATAATAATGGTGTTCAGATTCCTCTACAGTTTATTGTTATAGCATAAGGTGTGGGAGACAGGAGAGCACCCTCCACATGTAACGCAGTGTGGTCAGAGCCCCAAGGTAGCCCTTTCCACCCCTATGCCAAGCCCCAAACAGCCTGGCCCAAACTTGGCTCCCTCCTCCGTCCCACTTAAGATGCACACTGAAAGCTACCAAAGTTAGTGCAGCCAAATGGCCCCGGCACCTCCTATTGCCCTGGCTCCAGTCCTTCTACCATATTCGTTCACTGCCTACCACCTCCCATTTCAACTTCCTTTTTACACACTGGGTGTTTCTGTCACGTCCTGAGCACCACTAACCCACCAGCAAGCATCCCCCAGTACACATTCATTCAGGCCCTACCCTTCAGAGGCCTGAAATGTTAATGAGAAGCCACATCAGCTTTGGTAAATGGAGTCCCAGCCCCAAATCCCCTGCTCTTGCAAATACAGGATAAGTAGGGAGAGTATGATGGAGGCACTATGACAACTATAACAACCTCTTATCCTTCATCTACAGACACCTAGATCAGGAAGAGGACACATGCCCTCCACCTTAACACCAAATTAGGGGAGGAGGAGAAGTTAGGGTCTGGGTCCCTAAGAGATACTAGGACATCTCTCCCAGGAGCTGGGGGAATGACAGGTTATAGGTCAAGGTTAGGGTAGCAATCAAAGATCAAGATCGTCTCCCTATATGATCTGCCCATTTTCCCTTGCTTACTCAGGCCCAGTGCCCTTATGTACCTCCCAGGTTAGTGCTGGGGGGAGGTGAGGGCTGGATCCCACACTGGGGTAACAAGGGTTATTCAACAGGAGACCTCCATGGTGTGCCCTGGGGTCCCTGAAGGGAGAGTCCCAGACTCGCTGCTCTGAGACATGGTGCGAGAACGGGACCGGTTGCCATCAATGGATGCTGCACTGGTCAGGGAGGCCGTGCGAGACCGGGACAGACGAGTCATGCAGGATGAGGCCACTGTGGAGACAGAAGGATAAGCAGCCAGTCAGAGAGGAGGTGGGGAAGGCAGGCTGGCAATTCAGTGCTTGGGTGGAAACAGAGTTATAACCGGGGCCAGGGGGTCAAAGAGCTGGATTTGGAAGATGGTGGTGAATCCAGGAATTAACCTAAAATGGTTCCACCCAAATGGTTCCACCCCTCAGTGCCCATCCTCCCCTCTTGTGCAGCATTCCCTTGTCCTCATGATAGCCTCTGTCCCCATACTCACTGTAGCCCATGCCTTGCAGGAAGTACTTGAAGGCCTCAGTCAGTTTGCCTGGCTGTGGAAGTAAGATGAGGACAGGGAAACAGCAAGGTGAGATTAGAAGCCAAGTTAGAGCCCAAGGCTGCAGCAGGGTGGGGGTGGGGTGTGTGGCTAAGGACAGAGTTCAGTGCCACTAATATCCCATCCCACTTTCCCTCCCATGGACGGCAGGGGTACTCACCTGAGTCAGCTGGGGCTGACCTCCAGAATCGGCCATCTGTTCGGGAGACAGCCACCCAGAAAAAGTGATAACACACATAAATTAAATGAGCTGTGCAGAGATGTAGAAAAGGGTCTCTCTTTCCTAGCTTCCTCACTCCAGTCCCTTTGTTTTTTTCTTCTTTCACCCACTTGTTCCCATGCAGGACATTGGAGGCTTAGAAGCTGAATCTAGAGAAGATATATGGCCCTGGACCAGGGGCCAGGAGGCAGGCTAGGCATGGAGTAGGGTTACTGACCTTGAGGAACGAGGTCTGGGTGGGGTCCAGTTTTGAGTTACATTCCACCTGGAGTAAGTAGGAGGCTGAATGAATGAAGTCACACTCCCTGTGGCTCCTCCCCTCCAAGGGACCCCAGGACCCAGACCCCAGTCCCCTTCCTATCAGCCCCCTCCCCAGCTCCTCCTTACCAAGAATCAAATTCTTAATGCCCCAAAGTTGATCTCCTATCCCAAACAGAGCTTGCCCCTTGGCAAGATACCACTTTGACCACCACCTTAGGACTCCAACCCTTCTTCACCCACCCCAAAATTCCCTACTGACCACTGCTTCTTCATGGGGTGCTTGGTCTCCTACCACCAGCATCACAGGGCACCTAGAGGTATAGTGTCATGGAGAAGACAATGAACCCTTGGCACTTCTCCTGCCTCTTCCTAGAAGAGCAGCTGGAAAATGTCTGGCTCCAAAGAAGAAACAGCCCTCTGTTTCACCTGCTGACCCCACCAAGAGAATTCAAAGGGGGAAGACATAAAGGGAGGTGATTTGCTTAATAGGACAGAGTGGGAGGTGACAAGGAAATTCCCTGGCAAAGACTTTCTTCTAAGGGCTATAAGCACGTAGGGAAGATCCAGGGAGAGGGACAAAGCCTTCTCTCTTAAAGTCTTACTTGAGAGTGTTATCGCTTCCACGCTCAATGTTCAGGTCTCGGCGGCTAGAGAGGGGTTCAAAGAGTAGGAATTTTAGGCAGGCATTGCTATCCATCCAGCTATAAGCTATCTCCCTCATGAGGAAATTATTTGGCCCCAAAATTATGGCCAAATATTAGTGATTAAAAGTGGAAAACGAAGGAGAAGGTAGCAGGCAGATCCCAAGCACAACCCCTAAAGTCACTGTGCTTTAGGTCCCTGGTCACAGGGCAGGGAAGGGGGAGGAAGGGCACAAGGACAAGAGCTCATCTTCTGGCAATCCAAAAATCCAAGAGAGGTAAACAAGAGAAAGGTGACAGATCTTCACAATTCTTCCCACTGGGTCTGTCCTCAAGCTGCCCCAGTTGCACCCCAAATCCTGCCCTCCTTGCACACTGCACTTCTCGGACTTCCCTCTCCTCCCGTGCTCCCATGAGCCCCAGCTACTGTTTCTACATTTCTCTCACATGCACACACACAAACGCACACAGCACACCCACTTATTATAGCTGTTCCAGTACAGTTCAATGTTCTCCAGGTTAGGTGCATGTGAAATGATATTTCTGTACTTTTGTATAAACTCAGAATTTCCAGACAGCTCTTCCTGAAGAAGAGAAGAGTTGGAAAGAGAAGCCAACAATTACTGGATGGGAAGAAAGCTTGCCCCAGATCCTGTCCCAACTAAGGAAGTCACCCCAAGTATTCCAGTCCCTGCTGGTCTACTCTACTCCCTTATCTTGCACAACCACCTACCTGGCTGAATAGATGTCCAAGGATCATCTCCGAAAGAGAAGAGGTGAGGCCCGTTAGCTATGAGGAAAGGACAGGTGAGAAAGTTCAGGACATTATGGTGAGAAGATACCCAGGCATAATAATAGCTTAGCTTTCCTGCCTGATCACCCCCTCCTTGAAGTTCAGAGGCCATTCAGTTAGGTCCAGTCAGGTCCAGCCTATACAAGAGAAACTCCCACCCTAGATCCCAACACAAAGGCCCCTCCAAACCTTGTGGGCTGCCCAATCCATCCAACCCTTGGCATTAGGATCAATGTTGATGAGGACAAGACCTTCAACTGTGTCTGGGTGGTTAAGCTGAGGAGCAGCAGAAGGAAGGAAATCAGAAACAGAGCATGGCCTTCTCCCCTCCCCACTGAGCTCCACCCACTCTGGGGCTCCCATAGTACCTGACTCCCCACCATCGTACCTACTTCCTCCCCCAAAACACATGAATAAACAATACTCTGATTCAGGCTGAACCCTCCTTTCCCTCTTCTGGGAGTTTTTATTTCTTACAGCATATCGTGACAGGATGTAAGCTCCTGCTCCGACACCAAACCCAATTATCGTAGAGAAACTGTAAAAGGGAAATAAATATATGTCTCATGGGTTCTGGTGTCCAAAACCTGCCACAGCCCAATCTCTTAAATTCCTCACCCTCCTTCCCAAGGCCACGGGCACAAAGAAGAACAGAAGGCGACTTTCCTTTGGGGGATGATAAAAAGGAAGGTACCAAGGAGCTAAAGATTGGCACTGGTAATCAGTGTAGAGCCCTGAAGTCTATCCCCTGCTTCCTCTTGGAGAACTTGTGTCTTGAAAAGAAACACCCATCTACTGGCCGACCAGATGCAGTGTTTTACTATATAGATAGCTCTTTATCCATTCTCAACTTTCAGGAGCAAGTTCAACTTGTTCTGCTTTAATTCCTGGTTCCTCTAGAGGAACAGGGAAAATGGAACTTAAAAAAGCAAGATGTGGGCTGGCCAGTTAACTCACTTAGTTAAAACATAGTGCCAATAACACCAAGGTCAAAGGTTCAGATCCTCTTACTAGCTAGTCACCAAAAGAAAAAAAGGCAGCAAGATGTGAAAACAAACAACTTTAGGGAACAACATGCTGAGAGCCATGGTGTCTAGGAAAAGCCAAGCCAAGAACAGAACCTAGGAGTCAGCATCTCCTTTTGCATACCAGAGAAGCCATGTCTGGCTTTCTCTTCCTTCTCCCACACTGTCTTACACACAGGGCTCCCAATTCACCAGGTGTGTGTATGGAGGAGGAGGGAGTGGGAGGGAAAGAGACAGGTCTATCTGGTTCCTCAGGGATTGTGTCACCCCCTTCTCCTCCTCTCTAGCTTCCTGATCAGAGAAGCCCCTCCTCAGCTTGAGGAAAGGCCAAGTATAAACCCTTCCTTTTCCTTTCCTCTGTTCATTAAGGCTACTCTGCTAACTCTGATTAATTTTCTAAACTCACCATCCTTCCTCTCAACAATCAAGGTAAGAGCATGGAGGAGAAAGGATACCTATCAAGGCCAGAGGCTAAAACTAGCCCAAGAACCATGGTGGACACAGAAGTTCTAAGGGCCTCCTTGTGCTGGAAAGGGAACTCTGGTTTGGAGGGGTCCCCAGGGCTCTCACTTTAAGTACTGAAGGATGCAAGGGATCATGTCTGCAAGCTGGTCCAGAGATGGGTACTGATATCTGGAGAAGAGAGGAACATTAAGGAAGATATCAACTGCCCCCAAGACCCCCACCTTAGGAAAACCTATTCCTCCTCTTTAGGAATCGCCACTGCCTTCCCTTTCCTCCTCCCCGGTCCAATCTTCCCCATGCCTGCCCTGTGCTTCACAGTCTGGTGCAGGGGTAAAGAGCTAATTCTTACCCCAAAGGGAACACGGGAGCCCCCTCTTGCATTCCAGGGGCATCCACATGAACCCGCACGAAGTTCTGAATGATTTCCTGCATATCCCCGAATTGAAACAGCGGCTGGAAACAAGATTTATCTAAAGAGAACCCACATCACCCCGACAATACAATCAGACAAGGAAAAGTGTCCACAAGTCAGCACCCACCATCTTTCTTTCATACCATGGTCAGACCAGGAGAGAACATCTCCTTGACATGCCGCTCCACACCCTTCTGGCCCACACTCACCCCTCCCCTCACACTGGGTTTTTACCCTTCCCTCCAATCTCTTCCCAGAAAGGAACAGCAGGGGAAATGAAGGTTCTTACAGTTGAGTCCCACATCATGGTAGGTGAGTATCGCTGGGCGTTTGGGTTTGGGGGTGCCATAGACAGTAAAAGTGACAGAGCCATAAGGTGTCTCCACAGAGTGAGTCTGCAGGAAAACGGGTCACTATCAGGTGGGAGTTAGGCTGAGAGGAAAAGGGGTGGAGGAGGAGCTATACAAAAGTCAGGGAGTTGGGGGGTGGACAAAAAGGAGAAGGGAACAAAGAAAAATAGTTTCAGCAAGAATTTAGGAAAACGGCAGTAGAGGATGATCTGATCGAAGAGATGGGGAAGGAAAACGGCTAGAATAGAAGGAAAATAAGTGAGGAGAAAGAGGCAGGTAGGGGCCTTCTCTCTACTGGGGAGAGGAGAGCCCCTCCTCCCACCCTGGCACTACCCCCAAGCTGTTACCTGTCCCTGGTCCAGGAGGATTCGGGCAGCTAGCTCAGCCTCCTGGAGAGAGACACACACACACACACACAGATCCACACAGAAACACACAACCATGTAGAGTCACAGATAGAGAGACAGACACAAAGACAGGTAGGCAAATAGAGACCAAGGACAGAAACAGATTGACAAAAAGAGACATGGAGAGGATGAAGGTTAGTGTATTGATTGATGAGACAGAGGCCTGGGCTCCCAGTTGTACTGTCTGGGGAGAGAGACCTGGGTAGAGGTGGAGAAAGTAGGGTGTGGGTTAGAATGAGGTCAGCGGGCTTGGGAAGTCAGGAGGCGAGGGGAATGCTCAGAGGTCTGGAATTAGGCATGGGAGTCAGAGGATCTCTAATAACCTTGGCCGCCTCAGGTGTCTGTCCTGGCAACAGTGGCTTCTCCTCCATGATCTGCACCTCCTGCAGCTCTGCCATGGTGGCCTGGCAGGGTGAGGAAATAACATGACTGGGGGGTTGCCACCACAGCCCACAGCTCAAACACCTGGCTTCCTCTCTCAGTACAGGACAATGCCGGGTGCAGAGGGACCCAGGAATTGAAGACTATTCAAGGACACAGAGGGCCTTTCCTGCCCCCAGCTCCATTTCCAGTCCAATCAGAACACCACTTCTCTTCAGACCAGTCATCCTCACTGCTGCCCCTCAACACCTTCACCTCCTTCCCCTGTCCTGGACAGAAATACCAGAATGGGGCAGCAGTGCATCTCAGATTTCCCAGCCTATATTTAGGGGCCACCCCACACTTCCAGTTAAGTAGATGGTAAAACTCATGGCTCAGTGACTGGGTACTCTAAAGGTACCAAGGGACAGGGTAGTGAGAGTTCACAATTGACTACGACCTTCAACTAAAGTCTCAAGGTCAGAAGCTCAAAGGAAAAGGGGCTAAAAATGACCAAAGCAACATGACCAATGGGGGGAGGGTGAAAAACAACAAAAGAGGGACATCTGTGTCCCACCGACCCAATGCCTCCCTTCCAAGCCTCTCCCTCCTGAGTATGAATGAATTAGCATACATTCAACATTAGTAGGGCCTGTGAAGAGCAGAGGACCTGTGCACACATGCCCAGGAAGGAGCCCCCATCCTGGGGGCAGGGTCACTTACTGGGCTTCTGTTGGCGGATGCAGTGAGATTAGGGGTCAGGGTTCTCACTTCTCCTGACTCCACTCCGGGGTCTAAGAAAACACAGCAACGAGGTAAATGACATGGGAGACAGATGCTGGGTCTTTTAGTGACAGAAAGACCCAGACTCCTGAAGTCACCAACCCTCCCCGGGTCACTCTCCCTCGGCAATCTCTACCCCTGGGTCCAGAGAACAGGTCCTCTCTAGGCTTGAACTTGACAGAAAGACCCAGACTCCTGAAGTCACCAACCCTCCCCGGGCCACTCTCCCTCGGCAATCTCTACCCCTGGGTCCAGAGAACAGGTCCTCTCTAGGCTTGAACTAGAATCAATACAGGCTGGAGGTGCCTGCGGGACAACAGAGCACGTATCCGTCCAGGTTGAGGGGGAGGAGAGAAGGAAGTGCTGATGTGGAGGAAAGCATGGCTGTGTCAGAACCTCTGGATTCTAATCCCGTCTCTGCCACTACCAGTGTGACCTTGGCCCAGTCAGTTACCACTCTTGGGCTCAGTTTCCTATCTACAAACTAAAAGGGAGGGCTGAGGGATCCCCAAGATTTTTGACAGCTCTCGAGTGAGCTGAGAGTAGCAAAGCATGACTTTGCCTTCACCATTTAAAAGCAAACAAACAAAAAGCCTCGTGCCTTCGCTTCTCTCCTCCACCCAGTTTCTGTGTAGGTCCCGCGAGTGGAGCAACGGAGGGGAGGGCGGTCTCCTAATCTCCTCCCAGCCTCCACCGACGGCCCGCGAGGGCAAGCGACAGCTGGGAAGGGATGGGTAGGGCTGATGGGACCGTCCGGGCCCAGCACCCGGAACCTGTCCCTTCGAGTCTCTACGCTGCCCGTCCGCGTGGGGACTGACACCCTCGTGCAGCGGGCACACAGCGCCCCGGACCCCGGACACCACCTCACACACACCCTAACCCGCCCTGCCGCTCGCAGAGCCTCCGCCTTTGTGCGCAGCATCAAGCGCCCCTCCTTGCGGGCCCCTTCCCGGAGCCGTCAGCTCCAGGGGATTGGGATCAAACCGCCCACCGGCGCGGCTAGCGCCTTCCAGGCCCCGCGGCCGCTCGCCTGCCCCTCCCCCTACCTGCTGTCGCCGCGGTCGCTTCCACCTTCACTTGCCTTTGACTCCGGCACGCCCCGGCTCGGGCTCCCCACAGACCCGCCCCCGACCCGCCCCAGCCCGCCCACGGGCCGACAGCTCCCTGCAGGTCCGCCCCAGACCCCCAGTAAACACGCCCCCCCCTTTTCTCCGCCCCAGGTTGTCTGCGGCTCAGGAAAGGGCTGTGCTGGAGACGGGAGGGCGACTCTAAGGAAACTGCTGGATGCTTCCTGGCTCCCCACAACATACCGCCCCCAACGGGGCGGTGTGGGGTGTTCGGGGATTCCTCAGCCCGGAGAGGATCCCACGGCCTCCCTCGACACCGCCCCCACCCGCGACCGGGCTCTGCCTATCGCACTCTGGCGCCGTCCTCCACCCCCCGACTCAGTAGTGTGGACGGGCAGGGAACCCAGAGTGCTGACACCCCACGCTTCCTACTCCGCCCGCCCTCTCGGAAACAGAGCGAGGTTAAGGCAGGAGGAGGTGGGCGGGGATCGCCACTGAGGCGGCCGGGGTCTCGGCGGCCGGGAGGGGCAGGTGTGCCTGCACGGAGTAGGGGCGGGGGGCGTCGAGGGCGCAGGAGTCCCGACTCCGAGCGCCAGGGTCCTGGTACCTCCTCTCTTCGCGCGTCCCGACGCCTGTTCTCCGGCTGCTCGGTGAGAAGTTGTACAAAAAGGCAGGGAGGCGGGGCGGGGAATGCGGGGGGCCGCTATAAATAGAGGGCCATCACAGGAGGGGGGAGAGGATGGCCCACGGGGACTCCCGGGTCAAGGCCCCAAGGGGGAGGGGAACGGAGGAGGGGCCAGGGACCCCCAGGGGCTCTGACTCCTGGGTAAACAGGCGCGGGGGCGGAGTTAACCCTGCGCGGGTGGAGTAGGGGCTTGGGGAGGACTCAGTGTCCCGGGCTGAGACCCAAGAGACCCTGTGGCTTCGGTGCTAACCCCTCCCAGACCGGCCCAGAAAAGGAGGCCGAGACCAGCTCAGACCGGCTGAATTGCAATGCCCCGGCGACGGTGTGTTAGGCACTGCTGTGTCTTCGCTGTGCTTGGGTGGGTTTTCCATACTAGACTACACAGACACACACACGCACACGCATGCACACTCACCCAGATGCACTCTCCCTATGACCCTCAGAGGAAGGCCCCCTGGAATGGGATAGTTGATGTGACTAAGGGAATTCGAAGTTGTCTTAGGCAAAAGGAAACCAGATTGAATTTCTCCCCACCTGCCCCCCTTTTAGCTCCCCCCTCCCAGAATCATCCCCACCCCATCCCCCTTCAGCCTGGTTCCTGGGTTGCCATTTCGGGGGCTGGGCTCCAGGCCAGTTGTGAACAATGGCCAATGGAACTTGAGCTGCCAACTGCAACACCAGCACAGACTGCTCCCCCAAGACCCCCAAACTGCCCTCCCGCCTTCTGCCTGGGAACCACCCCCCACCAACACCCTCAATACCCGCAATCCCCCCTCCCATCCAAGGAACATCAATGCCCCTTTCATCCCCACTTGGCAGGGTCTATTGGAAAGAAGGAGAGGCCGGGAGGGAGGAGGTGACCCAGAGTAGAACTGGTCAGGCTCAAACCCAGCCTTCAACAACCCAAATCTAAGGGACCCCCTACATCCCCCAATTTGGAGCATCCAAGTTTTTCTCCATTCCCTGCTCCCACTCCCTTCATAACTATTTTCCTAAAACTGGCACAGAAGCTGGGCACCCTGTCTCCTTGCCTTGTCCCTTCGTTCCCTCTTTCCTCTGGATGCCAGTTTAACATTCTCCTGGACAAGGAAAAGCCTGCTGGAATCAGGATCATAGCTATAGATGCATAGGACAGAGGAGAGAATCTCACCAGCCCTAGTGGAATTTGGGAAGAAAGAGAGCCTAATATGAGAACTTTGCCTGCAGGCTTCTCTGATGTGTGTAAAGTAGTCTTACTTGGAGTGGGGGAGGGAAGGACCTGAAGGTTCCAGCATCTAAATTCGTCTCTGGGTCAGGATGACTCAGGGGGAACCTGATAAGGGGCCTACGCAGAGGGTAGGGGGGCAGGGGCGTGTGGGGGGGCCGGAGGTGGGAAATTTCCACTGAGAGCTGCTTGCTTCCTAGGCCTAGGGGTCCAGGCCAGCCTGCTGCAGGCAGAAGAGAGGCTGGTTCTGCCCTAAGATAGGGTTCTTACACATCAGCACAGCCTAATGTGGGTGTAAGTGTCCCAACAGGGACAGTCTCTCTCTCTAACCTCCTTCCCTTGCCCTGGGCGAGGAGCAGCTTCAGACTATACCTTCACCCCCTTACCAGCCAGCTGCCAAAACCAAAAAAAAACACAAACTATACCTTCAACTAAGCAAACAAAAAAAAACAAAAAAAAAACACAAACTATACCTTCAACTAAGCAACAGTTTGAAGTACCTGTTGTGTGCAAGCCAAAAAAAAACACAAACTATACCTTCAACTAAGCAACAGTTTGAAGTACCTGTTGTGTGCAAGGCACTGTGTAGATGTATTTCAAAGCCTGAAGTCTGGTCTCTAGAATTTATGATGAAGTATTCAAGAAAAGGTATAAACACAGAAAATGTTTTTTAAAATTGTATATATAAGATCAATTGTTTAGATAATAAGTCTTATAGCAGTATTTTTCCACCCTTTTCAAGTGCGAGATCAGAGATTTCCATCCCTTCATGATGGTTTTAGTATCCTCGATGGAGAAAATACAAACTATAAATTCAGCAATACTTTCAGATAAATTTGTACAGTATTCTGATAATCACAACATGTGTATATGTAGTGATATCCCCATATGCAAGGCATACTGTTTACTCAAGTTCACGTTCAATCTTCTGTGTACATACGGATTCCAGGGCCCCTTGCAATACTCAGAAACCCTCACCACAGTGGGCTGCAGCCCACAGACTAGGAATCATCATCTCACTGTAATTAAGAGGATGGAAAGGGCTTTGTTCCTAGGGTGAACCACCCAGATGATAAGTGCAACCACAGAATATCTGAGTGGGGGGAGGGGCATTCTATCCAGGCAGAGAGAGAGTACAGGGGAAAGTTCGGAGGCAGAAATACACAAGTTACTTTGAAGAATTGACTAGTAGCTACGATATGAAAGGCACTTTCCATATATTATAACCCAATACTGTAAGGTAGGTATTATTGTCCTCACTGTATGGACTGGAAATTGAAGCTCAGAGATGTTTAGTAACTTGCCCAAGGCCACTCAGCTAGCAAATGACATATCTAGGATTCAAATCCCTATCCAGATCCATTCTGTTCCGAGACTATGCTCTTTCCACTACCAGGTAGCCTCTCAAGTGTATAGTGATCAGACTATTATGGCCCCAGCTGAAGAAGAATGTTGAGGAGAGGTGGGCGATGTTTGATGAAGCAGATTGGGGCCGAGTTGTGCAGGTCCTTAAATGCTAGGCAAAAAGATTTGGCAATGAAGTACCTTAGAATATTCTTGAGCAGGAGTAATGGATAGAAAATACTGTTTTGTGAAAATCTGATGGGAAGAGGGTAATACAGATGGATTAAGGGGTCAGTGGGAATGAAGCACTGGATTTAGGAAAGAGGTCGTTTAGGAATCAGGGTAGTCGTCCAGATATGAGATGATAAGAACTTGGATGAGGGTGGAACTAACAGGAATGGAAAGAAAAGAATGGATTTGTAAGACAAGAAGAAAACTTTTATAGTAATCGGTAGGTGGGAAGGGAAGAGAAGTCACCAATCTAGTTGCTCTATTTGAGGATCTCTGAAGTTCATCTATCTATAGGGCTTCTGACCAGAGAAAAGGCCAAAGACAGAAACCCCTGAGGAACATCTTTGACCTGCACAGAAACTTATCTGGAAGATTTTCAGAGTCTGAGACTCACCCTTATTCTGACCCATTTTACTGTGACCCGCCCAGACCTGTTAACACTCCAGGGAACATGTTCCATCCCTGTTGGGACCAGCGTTGGAAGTCATTTAAAGTTCCTGTTGAGGTTGGTCTGCCAAAGCTGGTGGAATTCTTCATGCTGGTCAGTACACCTGAGCCTGGAGACTAGAAAATAGGGCAATGTTGGACTGATGCCAGCCTGTTTTTTGTTAACCCCTTCTGCTGTGGTCTGAATGTTTGTGTCTCCAGAAAATTTATATATTAAAATCCTAACTCCCAAGGAGGAGGTGGAATCTTTGGGGAGGTGATTAGGTTTCATGAGGGCAGAGCCCTCATGAATAGGATTAGTGCCTTTATAAATAGGCCTAAGGGAGCTCATTCACCCCTTTCACCATGTGAGGACACAGCAAGAAGGCACCATCTGTGAACCGAAAGCAGCCTTCACTGGACACGGAAATCTGCCTGCACCTTGATCTTAGACTTCCCAGCCTCCAGAACTGAAAGAAATAAATTTGTTGTTTATAAGCCATCTAGTTTATGATATTTTGTTATAGCAGCCCAGATGGACTAAGACACCTTTCCTGCACTCACCTCAGCTTTTGTTGTGAGGCAGGGCATCAGGCGATTTGACCAGGACCCAGAGGATTGTTAAGCTGCGCTGAAATGATGAGGGAAGTTTGGTCATCAGAAGAAGTCAGAAAATTGGCAACTTGCTCAATTCAGCATGCAAGGTAGGGAGACCAAAAGCCCCTCCTCAGAAAGCAAGGGTTGTAGCTGGGGCCAGAAGTGATGTCACATAAACACTGCTGAGGTCACAGACAGTCTCCCCAGCCAACTGGCTCCCACATATCTGCACGCACTTGTTTACAAAGGCTGGGAAGGGTCAGACACCATCCAGGCACTCTTAGGTAGGAAAAAGTGGTAGGGAAGCAGGTATTAATGAGTATGTAAGGTCCCAAGGGCTGAGAAGAAGAGATTCATGCTGTAACTTCAGTAGGTGGGATGGGAGTGAGGGGAAAAGGGGGGAAGGCGACAGGGAGGAGGGGAGTTGTTCCTGTTGCTGACCGATTCTATCTTAACCCCCATCCTCATTACTCCTCAGACCTCCCTTCCCCTCCTCCCTCACACCCGAGTCTCCCACCCTACCGCCCTCCCCCACCTCCAGCTGACCATGGCATCAGAAGCAGAGAAAACATTCCACCGGTTTGCTGTCTTTGGAGAATCATCAGGTAGTGGTGCCGAAATGAATAACAAGAACTTCTCCAAGCTGTGCAAAGATTGTCACGTCATGGATGGCAAGACAGTCACCTCTACTGATGTGGACATCGTGTTCAGCAAAGTCAAGTGAGGGGCCAAAGTGGGGGTGGGAAATGAGTAGATCAAGCAAGGTAGTTGGCCACCACAGGGTTCACGTGGCTCCCGTGGAGGGACATTTGCAGTGTGCCTCCTGGGCAATTGCTGGTGCCTGGCACTGTGCTATTTTCTGTCTTTGAGACATTCAGTGATAGGACAAAAGAGGCCAAATCTGAGTAAGGGAAGGGTTGAACCTTGGAAGGTAATGATGAATTCATGCTCAAGAAAGTTTCTGGATTTCTGTCTGACTGACCAGGGCCAAGAATGCCCGAACCATCACGTTTGTACAGTTCCAGGAGGCAATGAAGGAACTGGGCCAGAAGCGGTTCAAGGGGAAGAACCCAGATGAAGCCCTGGAGGGCATTTATAAACTCATGGAGGGCCAGGATCCAGCCACCACTGGTGTTACTGTGAGTGACATTCTTCATCCCAACCAGTGACCCTACTTTCCTAAATCCTAGTGCTCCAGTCTCCCCTCCCACCCTCCAGTGTCCCTGACCCTGCCAACAGTGTAACCGGAGGGCGACAGGGCAGAAAGTCTGTGGTGCACTGTTAGTATTGGAACAGACTTTAGAGATCATCTACTCGTTTCAGAGGTGAAGAATCTATCGACCAGAGAGGGAACGTAACTTTCCCAAGGTTCATAGCTATTTTAATAGTAGACTTAAGACTAGACAGGGCAGAAAGTCTGTGGTGCACTGTTAGTATTGGAACAGACTTTAGAGATCATCTACTCGTTTCAGAGGTGAAGAATCTATGGACCAGAGAGGGAACGTAACTTTCCCAAGGTTCATAGCTATTTTAATAGTAGACTTAAGACTCATTCACAAGTCTCCAGTATATGAGCCAGGCAAGTAGGGCTTGGTGGCTTTTTGAGGACACTCATGTAGAGGACTTGGCACCTGATCCGTACTCTTCCTCCTGCTCTTATTTACGGTTTAATCTCAGACCTCCTGCCTCTCACCCACCCTCTTACTTAATTGTCCCCTCTGTCCTAAAAGCTCTTTCTACTCTGCATATTGGATCTGAGGGTGAAGTCCTCTGGAAGCTACCTGGTCAGAATAACTCCTCTGAAAACAAAAACCCATCCTGTCTCCCCACACACCACATGCATTCTCATGCCAGACTTCTCTCTCATGAGTGGATGGCTCTTGCCAGATTTCCTGCCCACAGCTGCACCTGGGCCTTAAGAGAGAAGTGCATGGCAGAAGCAGACAAAGAGCTCCAGGCACTTGCTCTGAGTATCTAAGGCCATCTTTGGGGAAGGGATGCGACAGTGCAGGGGAAGGAAGAGGTCTCAATCCCATCTCCTGGCTTGCAGAAAGCAACGACAGTGGGTGCAGTGGACCGTCTGACAGACACCAGCAAGTACACCGGCAGCCACAAGGAGCGTTTTGATGAGAGTGGCAAGGGCAAGGGCATTGCAGGACGAGAAGAGGTGACTGACAACTCAGGCTATGTGAGCGGCTACAAGGGTGCTGGCACCTATGATAAGAAGGACAAGTAGAGAGGAGCCGCATCTTAGCCTGCTCGCTCCCAACCCTGCATCTTAACATCAGGGAGTCTGAGAAACAATAAACACCTGTGTGTGCAGCAGCTAGTGAGCTCTGTCTAATGAGGGTGAGGGACATGTGTGCCCATTTGTGTAGAGAGAGGGAGAAGAGAAAGGTCAAGGAGTCTGGGTTTTCAGTCCAACACCTTTTACCCTGCTCAGCCTCATTCCTACCAACCAAACAGTGGTATTCCCCTCATCTGCTTCAAAGAACAGGACTGGGGAATATATTTAGAGATAAGAGATGAACCAGATGTGGAGGCAAAAGTATTTGCTACTTGTGTTCACACATTACTGGTATCCACCCCGCTCTACCTCCCAAAAGGGTATAGCAATTCCTGACTTGACATGCTATGACACAGATACTACCTATTAGATTCTTCCTTGTCCCTCCACCTTCCTCATCCAGTCCGTGTTTTGTTGGGGGAGAAATAGAAGCCAGTTAGCGTGCCTGACTCCTGTTGTGAATTTGGGTTAGAGTTGGAGGGGGGGGAGAATCCATTTTAAACACCCAGCCCAGAACTGAGTTACCCCATCCCACCCCCTTCATGGTACCCATGGCACAGAAGCTCTTCCTGACTGCTGAGGATAGCCCAGGAAGATGACCAGAGGTGGGTGGCCACCAGGACTTCAAGAGTAGCTGGGGCCGGCCCATGGCTCACTTGGGAGAGTGTGATGCTGATAACACCAAGGCCATGGGTTGGGATCCCATATAGGGATGGCCGGTTAGCTCACTGAGTGAGTGTGGTGCTGACAACACCAAAGTCAAGGGTTAAGATCCCCTTACCTGTCATCTTTAAAAGAAAAAAAAAAAAAAAAAGTAGCACTTCTGGTACACTAAGAAAAAGGGAATTAAATTAGAACTGAGTCAGTTGTGTGTTTTTAACTTTTTATTTTGAAAAGACTATAGATTCACAGGAAGTTGCAAAAAATAGTACAAAGAGGTCCCGTGTATCCTTCTCCCAGTTTCCCCCAATGGTTATATCTTAAATAATTCAGATGTGGTTCTAAAGCTTCACATGACTAGAGCTGGGCCTGCCTCATCCCCTGCCTTGTCAGTGGTAGACCCTGGACTTTGGGTGATTTGGGAAGAGCTACTGGAAGGAAAGGGAAGCAGGAACCTTTGGGGGAATGGGTGAGAAGATAATCTGAAATTCCAGTGAGCCAAGGTGAGAAGGATGGAAGGAAAAGAGGTTGGAAAAAGGAAGGCAGGATGTCTAAGGATAGTTGGGATTGCGAGGAGAGACAGCACTGGGCTCCATGGCGGAAGGAGGGAGGAAAGGACAGGATACATGAAGGGAGAATCAATGATTTCACAGAGAAGAGCAGGCTGGGAGCTGGGGGTGTGGGGAAGGGAGGCTAAAGCAAGACTAAGGGTCTCAGGAAGACTCCTATAGTTAGAGGCATCCACCATGTGGGTGAGTGAGTGGAGGGAGTTAGAAGAATGACGGGGAGGACAGATGAGAAGGGTGGGGGATGGGAGGTGAGATGCAGAGCTGGGTGCCTGTTGCCATGGTGTGCGCTCAGGCCCTGGGCTTCCATCCAGGATTCAGAATTTGGCCCAGTGGGCGGACAGTCACTGCCAACTGGACACAGTCAGCTTCTTGGGTGGGTTTTACTGTCTCTGGGAGAGGGAGGACGGTGGTGGGGATGGTAGGGAGGTGGTAAACAAGTTGGAAAGAGTCTAGAAGACAGTACAACTTTGCATGGTGATCAAAGCCCTAGACATTTTCCTGCCTACCTGGTGTCCTGGGAGGGGACCCTGCTTGCTTTGGAAGTCAGGGAGGAAGTCTTGTTGCAGCGATAAGAGTTTTGGAAATGGGGACAAGCTGACCCGTAGTGGTGGAGATGGAGGTGGTTCAGGAATTAAATTCCCTAGTAGTGGCCTATGATACCTATCGGTTCAGCTTCATACTTGCCAGAGCAGAGCAGGTAGAGTTTTTGATTAGTTAAGGTGCTATTGTAGTGGCAGCTGGTGGGTGTCTGTTCCATCCCCAGGGAGCAGATCGTGATAGGGAAGGAGTCCTCAGTAAGTGTGCAGTATTCACTGTAGTTCTCACAGAAGTTATGACTATATTTGCAGTTCTTCTGGATGGCTTTCCAGGGGGCATGGATCACATAATGGATCTTTGGGCAATACCAGTGTTGCATTTTGCCCCGCACATAGGCCATCACACCGTTACAGTAGCCCTGGAAACCCTCTGGGTAGTGAACCCTGGGATAGTCGATGTGTAAAGTTTGGAAGTTCTTGACAGTAGTCTGCAGCTGGATGTTCAGGACCAGAGTTTGTCCTAGAACAAGCTGAAGGAAAAGGAGCCGGGCCACAGCTGGTGCCATTCTTCCTGCTGGCAGAGTTAAGATGGTTGGAGGGAGGGGTGGGCATAGAGTGGCTGTCTTCCCCTTCCCAGTGCTCCAGCATTCCCCAACCTTCCCTATGTGCCTTCTCTACCAGCTAAGTGTGGACAGTACCTCAGAGATCATCCAGACCAAAGTCCTCATGCCCCAGAGAGAAAACACTTGCCCAAGGCCACCCAGCTAGTCAGCCACCTTTAGCCATTCCCCCCTCTCCTTTGGTCCACCACAGGGTCTCAGCCTCACCCAATGTGTGAGCTGCAACACTTGCAGAATAGGAGGTCCAACTGATCCTATGGTGAGAGACTTCCCAGTTATCCCTCGTCCCTTCTGGTAAAAATGCAGAGGGCATAGAAGGAACAGGCTGAGCTGACAACTCAATTCTCTGATGGCTCCAGAAGAAGGACAAGAGCTAAAGACAGCTGGGTGGGAGCAGGGATTCTTCTTGCCTGAGGCCAAGGACAGCCCAGAGGTGAGAAGAGGCTAGGAAGTTTTCTGGGTAAAGACCAGTCTGGGAGCCCCTGTGCTGAAGGGGTTGAGTGGGTGGGAGGAAAGAGACATTGCTAACTGGCTGCCTTCTCTCTGGTGTATCATTAGAACACTTAGTTCCAACTTCCTTACCAGAAGTCCTTTGATGTTTTCTCTGGTCCACAGCCTCTGCTCTCATGGTAAGGTGAGAAGGAAAGCACTGTCATGTTTCTGAGGAACAAAGTGCTTCTACTCCTGACCCTCAGAGAACAGAGGGACCACCACTCTCTCATCCCACTCATGGGAGCCCAGGAGGCCGTGTATGCAGGGGCCTCCACCAAAGTGCCAGGCTGAGAACCAAAGACCTCCATGTGGACTCCCCACATTCCCTGCCATCAACCTCAATCTCACACCAACATGCCTCACCTGTGCCTCAGGCCCTGTCCGAGTCAGGGCACTCTTGGAAATCTGTGCACGCTGATTCCAAAGCCTCAGACTTGGCAGGTTGGATTCAACATCATAGCCAGCACCTGAGGGAGTGTGGACATGGGAGCCTGGCCTGAGTAGATTCTTGCTGTTTGTTTGTCTTTGGGTAGTCTGTCATACCGAGGAAAGGGCCTTGACTCTGTTTTTCATCAACATCTGCCCCTTCGTCAGAAACAAAGAGCTAGCTCCCCAGAGCCCGCCAGCCCTCGTCCTTGACTTCCACAGGCCTCTCAGCTTTGTCTCCTTGCAGGGTGTTCTCCAGATTTGGGGCTTCCTCTTAGGAAAGCCTTTTCACTCTCACCCTGGACAGCAGGAATGGGGAGTCAGATGCAGAATGCTGAGTGCTCCAAGGCCCATTGTGTAGCTCAGGGAGTTGGGGGAGGCACACAGAGAGACATATTGATGTCCTCACTTGCAGCCCGGCTAAACTTGCTCTTTCTGACAGCAAAAACTACAGTCCAAAACTGAATCCATCCTCCCCACAACTTGCTTATCCTTCTGTGTGGTCTGTTTCAGTTTTCTCAGTTACCTACACAAGAAACTTAAGAGTGATCCTAGATTCTAGACCCCACTGTCTCCCTATCCCCGCCTATTGGGAGGCAGTACTGCATGGTGCTTAAGATGAAGGCTTTTGAGTACAACAGACCATTGAATTGAAGAGAGTGATCCTAGATTCTAGACCCCACTGTCTCCCTATCCCCACCTATTGTGAGGCAGTACTGCATGGTGCTTAAGATGAAGGCTTTTGAGTACAACAGACCATTGAATTGAATCCAGGCTCAGTAGCTTATGTGCTGTAAACCATCAACCTAAGTTTACTAAGCCACTATAAGCTTCCATTTCTTCATCTGTTCATGAGGATGGTATTTTACAAGTCATGGCAGTATTAGGATTCACTAAGATGTATATCAGGAACTTTTAGCCCAGTGCCTGGCACATGATGAGTACTGAGTATAAGCATGAGTCCATCAGTCATGCAGCCCTGATAATCTTAAGTAAAACTTTTCCCAAATCCATCCCTTCCATTCCTATTTCTTCCCCTTCTCAGATTCTCCTCTCTCCTGGAAACCACGCACTCTCCAACTCCAGTAAGGCTCAACCCAAATATTTCTTTTATATAACTGCCAGCATAAAAATGCAGTCCTCTCTTTTTTTAAAAAGTCTACAATAGCTTCTAGTTTCTTATAGAGTGTATAGTCCACACTGCATCTCATAGAACAAAAGACCTTCTGTATTAGTCAGTGTCTGTTGCTTACAACATATATACCTGAAACTGGGTGATTTATAAAGAAAACGAAATTTATTGCTTACAGTTTCTGAGGCTGGGAAGTCCAAAGTCCATCAGGTGGTGGCAACAGTGACTCAGGAGTTTCACACTGCAAGATGGTGGAAGCAGAGAGAGAAGAGAGAGAGAAAGACTCTCTTCTCTCTTTTTTTTTTTTTTCTTTTTGTCTTTTTTCGTGACTGGCAGCGGATCGCAACCCTCAGTGTCGCGCCCATACCAGGCCGGGACCGGCAACGGGATCGCAACCCTCGGTGTTGCTCCCGCACCTCGCTCAGCCAGTGAGCGGCCGGTCTGTATGTGGGATCCGAACCCTCGGCGGGAGCGCTGCCACGCTTCCCAAGTGGCGCACTGTAGCAGTGCTGAGCTTCTGTTTCCTCCTCTGTAAGGAAGGATAATACCTTTCTTACCTAATAAGGCTGCAAGTATAATATGGGACAGCAAGTGTGAAAGTGCTTTTTAATCATTAAACAATATATAAATGGATATATAAACAGTATATAAATGGATAATATATAAATGGACAAACAGATATGGTTTCCTAGGTTTTACACCAACTCACTTATGACACCTGTAAAGCCCCTATTATTCCCCAAACAAGCCTAATGTCAGCACACTCACCAACTCCCCATCACTGCTCTGCCAGTCTAGAGCCCCTGTTAACTTCTGCCTTAGAATTCACTTCCATGAAGCTTATGATTAATTTTTTTTTGGGGGGGGTTAACTTTATTTATTTATTTACTTATTTATTTTTAAAGCCTACGGTACCTGGTATTCCCAGGTGATCTCCCACCCAAATACTAACCAGGCCTGCTTAGCTTCCTAGATCAGATGAGATCAGGTACATTCAGGGTGGTATGGCCATAGACTATGACTATTTTAAAGTAATTTTTAAAAATTGATTGTCAAGGGCTGGCCTGTGGCTCACTCGGGAGAGTGCGGTGCTGATCACACCAAGGCCACGGGTTGGATCCCTACATAGGGATGGCCGGTTTGCTCACTGGCTGAGTGTGGTGCTGACAACAACAAGCCAAGGGTTAAGATCCCCTTACCGGTCATCTTTAAAAAAAAAAAAAAATTGATTGTCAGATGCTATCTGAAAAGCACTGTGACAAATGTTGTAGAAAAATATGAAGGTAAGTAAGACTGTTGCAGTCCAGATTAGATTTATGATTCAGTAGGAAAGACACATGTATAAACATATGTTACAAAGATGTGAGCACAGGTCCAGGCACAGTGCTGAGTGGGGATGGAGTGGTGGGCCTTCAGGTTTATCCTATGATGATCCCTGGGATTGCTTCGGCCATTCTGACATCCTCAGCATGATTAGAGTAAGCCTGAGATTTGTGGGATTGTTATCTCCATTACACTGGGCTTTACATATACAAGAATTACCCTAGAGACAAAGAAAGTAAGTTCTAAAGGGACAGTAGCTGCTCAAGGTCATGTCTAATTCAGTGGTTCACAACGGGGGGCAATTTGGTAATTGGAGACATTGTTTGGTTGTCATGACTGGGAGCTGTCACTGGCATGAGGCCAGGGATATTGCTGAACATCCTACTTTATACAGGGCAGTTCCCACAACAAAGAATTATCCAGACCAAGTTGTAAATAGTGCTGAGGTTGAGAAGCCTTGTTCTAATTAATAAAAATCAGATTTCCTAAAAAGACCAGACTGACTTGTACTTTATGTATTTAAAAGAGTTTGTAAACATCTGGGACTTAGAAAAATTTTTGTTAAACAGATTTGATTGTAATAGTGCTGGTTCTTCTACCAGCAAAAGGAGTACTAATAGTTTACCTTTGAGACATAACTTTGAGTTATTTTTCCTGTAGAGATGACCCTCTGCATGAAATCATCTACACATTCTCTCCCTTCCTCCCCAATGGTAACCATTTGTAGAACAACTGGCTAGGGCACAGATGAAGGGGTGACTCCCTGTGGCTGAGGAGAACCACAAGATTTTGCTCTAAGTGGGTTCACCACAGTCTCAGTGGCAATAAGTTTTGTCCTGTCCAACTCAAATGGTTCAAACAGTATGTTGTGTCATGGACAGTTGCTGGGTTGTCCTTGCACCCAAAGGATTGCTTCAGCCAACTCAACGTTCTTGTCATTGTGTCACCTCAACCCTGGGGCTCAAGTCTGGGAGTTGCATTGTCAGTCCCTCAATCTGCTAACAAATTTTGTGGATTGGTTTTGATTGCACCGGAGACTGGGATTATTCAGGAGAAAAGCAAATGCCTTCTACCCTAGCAGTTGAACCAGTTAGGGTCACTTCTATGCTACGCACTATGCTTTGTCCTGTGGAAGGTACAAAAGAAGTGTACCAGGTGGTCCTAATCTTCTGAGAATTGACAGTCTAAGTTGGAGAAAAATGATAAATACATGTGAAGAAATAACCAATGGTTCAAGGCAGAAAATTATACATCTTGAAGCTGTAGGAATTTAGAGGTAAGAAAGATTTCTCTGAATTGTGGTGGTCAGAGAAAGTTTTACTGGAAGTTCCTCCTGGGGCCTTGGGATGGGTCTCATGGGGCAGTTAGTAGTTAAGTGGAAATAAAGAGGATTATGAAAGGTATGTTTGAGAAAAGGGAGAAAAACAGTCTGGTTGGGATGGAGGCACTCTGGCAGAGAAGTCAGAGATAAACTTAGAAAGACAAGTTGCCAGACTGTGGCAGACCCTGCGTAGCAGGCTAAGGAATTTATACTTTATTCTGTACATAACTGGGGAGCTGGCAAGGGCTATGA